CGTATGGCAACTGAGCTAGACGGGCTTGTTATTATATTGTAAACTTACTAATATTTAAAGTAAATATATATTTATCATTATTCCCAAAATAGTAACCGATTTGTGTTCTCTTAGCAAAATGTAAAATAATTTGTTATCAATAAAAATAATAAGTAGAAGATTTCACTAGAATAAAAAGGGGTTAGCTATTATTTTGATCCCTCAAATTGTTCGTATTTTTATTTTGATCATTGAAGTTTATTTTTTTTAATTTTATCATTCAACTTTTTTATCACTAAAATGCTGCATTTTTTGCTTCTATTTCTGAATTTGACCTAAACTTTTTACTCTCTTTTTAATGGACCATCATTTGCATCGTAGCTAGTACCAAAATGATCCCCTTTCTCCCCTCTTTTTTTTAGTTTGATTTTTTTTATCAAACTTGACTTTTTTTAGTCAGATTTTTTTTTACTTTGACTCATTATTATTTAAAATTTATTATTGATAAAAATATGAAAAAATATACTTTAAAAACCTAAAATCAATTAGTTTTCAAATATATATTTTATTAAAATTTTTGACTTTCTAAAAGTCAATAATAAACACGTTTAGTGGAACGGAGGGAGTATTGTTTTTCTCCTCCTTATCAACCTCGTCACTATTTGAATTTGGAATGAAATACTCTCAAGTTGGTGAATCAAATGAAGACAAAATATTTGAATTTGAGAGGAAAGGTTAAGTTTGCATAAATTTACCGAAAATTAAAAACAACGTTAAAATTTAACAATTGAATGGTTAAAAAGAGCAAAGTCCAAAAGTTGACTGATAAAATTTAAAACAGTTACAGCTATTACCAAATAAAAACACGAGAAAAGTTGGCTAACCAAAAAAGTAATTTACCTAATAAGGAATAAGTAAAAATGTGCTAAAAGAAATACGAAACATCATTTCGTCGTTACTGAAGCGATTTACAAGAAGAAAAAAAGGTGTTATTTTATTTATAGTTTTGGAATTTTGTTTACAACACAGGGGATTAGATAAGAATTAAATTCAAATTCAGCATAGCTTAAAGACACCTTAAAGTATCATTTGTGAAATTAGAAAAAGTAGAATTGTTTATTGGTATGTGAAAAAGGATTTATTAGTATAAGTTGCAATTTCATAGTTAATTTATTTGATCAAAAACATGCATAAATAATAAATAAGCTACATGAAAAATAATAAAGTTAAAGTCTTAAAGTGTTCAACAAAACGATCTTGTTAAAATCCAAACATCTTCAACAATTTTAACTTGCATTCATGAACAATCGTAAAATCACCATTCATCCTGATTAGAACCAAGATAGTGTGAGTCATGAGCGATAAGATTGAGATTTGAAAATATATTTTTTCTTCTTTCCTAACAATGTTTGGATTATATTTTATTTAATTGTTTTGGGCTTTTTTTATTTGTATTTAAAATTAATTGAATTTTAAAATATTAATGGGTATTAAATTAAAATTTATTGGGCCTTAATATTGGGTCTAGAGAGATTTGGCTAAACATAAATGAATAAACATAAACGAACGAAAGTAAATGAAAAACATAAACGAACATATTATCGAACGTTCACGAACGTAAATGAGCACGAATCTTCTGTTTGTGCTCTTCATTTAATCAAACAAACACAAAATCTTGTTCATGTTCGTTCGTTTAATAAATAAACGAACTTACTACCGAAGGATTCAAGAATAGTTCGCTGAACATTTGATTCTTTTACATGCCTTACCAACGTCGGTTAGGAGGAGACGATCCATATAGATGGTGTAGCGTTTACCTCAAATACTGAACTGCTATGCATTGTAGTTGTTACCCATTTAAAAGGTTTGAATTTGACGAACTGGGAACCTTGGAGGACCAATGCGGCGTAATTTGTAGAGAAATCCAGAATTCATTGGCATTGCTCCTTTAAGGTTCTCTACTTCACCAATCGGGTCCTCCAGTTCTTCAAAGCTTTCAATTGAGTCTTATGCATAATGGCTTGACTAGGAGTGAGCATTCGATCGAGTCGAGTAAAAAAATTTGAGTTATTCGAGTTGGCGAGTCGTATTTTACAACTCGAACTTAACTTGAAATTTTTTTCGAGTTGAGTTTAAGAAATTCGAGTTTCTATACCAATTTTATTAGAATTATTTATAGTTTTATGATAATCATTTGTTCCATTTTTTTATTTTCTCTAACCATAATATATATATATATATATATATATATATATATATATATATTCTTTTCACATTATAATGCCATTTAATATATCAAATACAATATAAAATTATGAAAGAAATTCATAATATTATATTTTAAAGAAATTATTTTGAAGGTAAAATATTGATGAGAGTATAAAGGAGTCAATGAATTTACGAGAAGAAAGAATTTGTAAACAATTGTAGTCAAAAGATCAAATTGGGTAAAATGCAAAGTTAATGGACTAAATAAAAAGAAAGTAAAATTTTAGTTAAAAAATAAGAATCATGTGGTTTAAATTTGGTAAAAGACGGACTTAAAATAAAGGATGAATTGAAGAAATAAGGAAAATATGAAATATTAAGGGACTAAATTGAAAAATAAAAAATTATTATTAAAAAGAGGAATTGAAAGTACATATGTATTCTACGATGGTTTATGAGCATGTGGTTCAATTTTGCTAAAAGACAGACTTAAAATAAAGGATGAATTGAAGAAATAAGGAAAATATGAAAGATTAAGGGACTAAATTGAAAAACAAAAAATTATTATTAAAAAAGAGGAATTGAAAGTACATATGTATTCTACGATGGTTTATGAGCATGTGGTTCAAATTTGCTAAAAGACAGACTTAAAATAAAGGATAAATTGAATAAATAAGAAAAAAATATGAAAATTAAGGACTAAATTGAAAAATAAAAAAATTATTATCAAAAAGAGGAATTGAAAGTACATATGTATTCTATGATGATTTATCGGTATGTGGTTTAAATTTGATTAAAAGGGGACTTAAAATGAAGGAGGAATTGAAAGAATATTGAAATCAGAGACTAAATAGTAAAACTGTCAAAATACTTATTCAAATTTTTAGTTTTTCGGGTAACTCAAAAATTCAAAATTTCAACTCGACTAAAACTCAAAAACCGAATTTATAATTCGAATTGACTCGAATAACTCGAAATTAATTTTTTTAAAATTTTAGAGTCAAGTCGAGTTATATTCATCCCTAAACTTACATTCGAGGGAGGTAAGTGTCAAATGATTTACGGACTGTCATCTTTAAAATTTAAATTTGAATTATGTCATACGTACTACAATATGTTTTTTAATAGATTTTTTAGGCTAACTGTAGTTTATTCTACGGTTTAGATATCCGGTTGACGATTTTTTTCGATAAATCACCCTTTAAATGTTTATTTCTCTGTCAAGCATCGTTCAAATTATATTTTTTGATCTAACACCCTTTGTAGTAAGGCGCAATTCTAGGGTCGCGTTTTACGCACGTGAGGTAAAGCACGCTCCTTAAAACGCGTCTTACGCTGATGGATTTTCTATGACTAAAACACGGCCCCTGAAGCACGACAACATAGGGTAAAGCGCGGCCCCGGCGCGACTTTGCTCATTTTTACAACTACTTGTACTGGTTTAATTGTTTATCTTAATTTAATTGTTTATCAAGGCTTGGCTTCTCTTGCAGTAATGGAGGCTGGGTATTCATGCACCCATTACCAAACCCATAACCAACACGGGTTTCTTCGAAGACCTCTTTTTTACTCAAGGAGAACTAGTTTGAGGAATATATAATCATATTCTTCTTCATGTTCATCTCCAAGGCCTGCTAGGTTTGAAGATTACAATCAACCCCATTTCTTGGATGCTTGTTTCCTTTGCAAGAAGCCACTTGGGGGTAACAAAGACATCTTCATGTACAGGTTAATATTTATATTTAAAAAAGTGAATAATTTTCTCGAAAGATATGATGAATCTTTCATTAGTTTGGAACCAAAGATTGGGTTTTTGGGGTTTAAAATTATTGTTGATTTGTGTTCTTTTTTTGTTACAGAGGGGATATGCCTTTTTGCAATGAAGAGTGTAGACAAGAACAGATAGACATCGATGAAGCTAAGGAGAAAAGCAATAGCCTTTCATCCTCAATGAAAGCTTTGAGGAAGAAGGATCAAAGGAAAGCTACAACTTCTCCGGCAAAGGCTCAGAACTACCCGTTCCGATCGGGAAGTGTTGCAGCTGCCTAAATAATCATCTTACAAAGGAAATAAAAAAGAATAGGAAAAAAACATATATCTACCCTCGTATAAACTCTTGAAAAGAAAGGCAAAAGAACGAAGGAACAAAGCCAATGAGAGAGAGGAAGAACAAGAAAGCTTGTTTGGGATTTCTTTTTTTTTTTCCTGGGGTTTTTGAATCCCAAACAGACATGATGATGCTGAGATTTAACTGTGAATATGAGATAGTCTTTTAGATCTATCCCGTGATATGACTCCTTTTTTGGGGACTAATAATAATAAATTATTAAAAAACAATAAGCGCGTTAACATAAAACAACCACAGAAAACCAGTATCCTAAAAATGAGCAAACACGTGCCCCAGGCCGCGATTTACCTTTCGTGGTGGGGCTGTGTTTTAGTTATGTGTATTTATATCAGTGTAAGATATATTTTAGGGGGTGTATTTTAATTCACGTGGCGTTAAATTAGTGTAAAATATGACTCTAAAATCGCATTTTACTGTAAAAAGTATTATATCAAAAAATATAATTTGAAACAAGAAAATAAACATCTAAAAGGGTGATTTATCTGAAAAATCACCTATCGGGTTTCAACTATTTGTATGACTTAAAAAACAAAGGCAATGGAAAGCCTATTTGGTTATGTTCCACGTGGACAGTATAGTATTCGATGCCCGATTCCTTCCAGCCAAAAATTGACAAAAATAAACATCTCTGCTCCTTCCCACTATCTCAACTCTATTTTTCTCCTAAAATTCAGGCATTTGTTAAATTCTTCCTTCTCTTCGACAAAGCTACCCACTTGTCCCTCTCGGCCATAGGAAAAAAGCAAAACAAGGGAGAAAACCATCAACAAAGGAGAAAACATGTCTACAGATTATCGGTCATTTCAGACCCTCAGTTTTCCCGACTCAACTCAAGAGAAAACCGGACCGTCTCTTGTTAAGACTCTTCACTGTTCCCCTCTTCACAACAACTTTAACGCCTAAACTTCGCGTTTCTTCTACCGCCTTTGTTGAATCCCAGCAAGCGGTAAAATATTATCCTTTTTCCCAAAGTTATTTGATTCATCGTTCTTTCTAACAAGTGTTTATTCTCCTTTTTGCTTGGTAAGTATTTTAGGGGCCTGTTGTGGAGGGGAAAGAGGAAACTGGTGGTGATAATATTGTAGCTTGTCCTATTTGTTATGATCCATTAACCGGGAACGGTGACTCCACTTTATACGTGTCAGTTCATGCTGGTTTTCTATTTTCAAATTATATGTTTTTCAATTTCAAGTTGTGCTTGAATTGATTAAACGTTTTTGAATAGGACAGTGGATCGTCATCTGGGTCTAATTTGCAGTGCAACACCTGCAAAAAGGCTTATTTCGGTAACGAAACGCATCTCGACCTCGTGTCTTCTAGCGGATCCAAGCAGTATGATGAATCCATGCCACTGGCTACTGAAGTGTTCAGGTCAGTCTCTGCTATTCCTTTTCAGTTTTTATGGTTTTGGATAATGTTGTTTAGCATTTGCAATTGTGAGTTTAAATTGAACGGATATCTACTGAATAATGATCATAGGAGATTGAAAATGAGAGCTTTACTCGTTTGATTAATCTAGCGAGTCTCTGATTGTAGGAATTGTAACAAACGTGAAGTAGTGATTAAAAAAAGAAAGATATTGATCTGTTTTTAAAGTGTAACCTATAGACCATTTTCAATGCTCTCATGCCGATGCCTTATATTAATCACTATATGTGCTTGATACTATGTCCGAGGCTTGTTTTGCTGTTAACTTACTTATGTATTCTCTATTGGTCATTTTCTTAAGCAGGACTCCGATGGTTTCATTTCTCTACGAGAGGGGCTGGCGTCAAAACTTCATATTTGGTGGCTTTCCAGGTCCTGAGAAAGAGGTAAGATGAAAACTTATATTTTCGTGTTCATCAATAAGAATTATGAAGTTATGTCTGAATATTTATCGAAACATACCTATATCCAAAACATCATTTTGGGATCCGAAGCTTGAAACTTGAAGTGTTTTATCTTGACCTTGCGTGGATGTCACTTTGGAATGAAGTCTGTTTATCTGTGATTTGAGCTGAAGGAAAGGAACTCTCTTTGAAATGCTAACATACATAAAACATCAATTTCTAATCATCCTACAGTTAATGCGTTTGAAATGGGATAATGTTTACAGTAGTTTTATTTTATTTTGTTTTCCAATTCATGCTGTTGTTGTTTCATATACTTTGCTAGCAATTTGGAGTCACCAAGTAACTAGTGATTTTCATTGTAGTTTGATATGGCTAAGGATTACTTAAAGCCAGTGCTTGGTGGAACTATTGTTGATGCTAGTTGTGGCAGTGGGATGTTCTCCAGACTTTTCGCCAAGAGTGGATTATTTTCTCAGGTCATTGCTTTGGACTACTCAGACAACATGCTGCAACAATGCTATGAATTCATCGACAAGGAGGAAAACTTCCCGAAAGAGTACATAAGTTATGCTTTATATATATAGCTCATTGAGCTTTAAACATTTATAATTCAAATTGGAGATGTTACCACTGATCTTCATTCTTTATGTTTGCTCATAGGAAAGTGACCTTGATTCGAGCTGATATCGCTAGACTTCCTTTCAAGTCAAGTTCAGTCGATGCTTTGTATGCTGGTGCTGCTTTGCACTGTTGGTCTTCACCATCAACAGCTGTAAGCATTACTTTTAGATGTTGTGGTTAATTAATCTTTCCAATTACTTGCTGTAAACAATCTTAAAAAGAGCAAAACTGTTTGGGGGAAAGGATATTTCCTTAAGAATAGTAAAAGCCATATTAAACTTCGTGTTAATAATGTATAATAGAACCAGCTTCTGAAACTGTAAAAATCTGAGAAGCTATTCCTTTCTTCTTGCCACATCTAAATATCTAATGCTTACTTTCCGGCATAAGATCCCGGTCTTTGTTTCATGAACTTTTACCTTCTAAGTCTATGTTTTAAAGGGATTTTCTGTTGATTTCTCTAGGTGGCTGAAATAAGTCAAATTCTTCGACCTGGAGGTGTTTTTGTTGCTACCACCTACATTCTTGATGGGCCATTTGCATTTGTGCCATTTATGAGGACATTCCGCCAGGTATCTTAATTGCCATTGAATTGATCGAGGAAGTCTCATTTGAGCCTTTCTTGCATCACAAGAAAGAAAAATTGTTGTTTATTTCTGTTCTATTGTTGATAGTGGGTTAACCTTTGGGTGTAGAATGTAATGGGAAAAGCAGGCGGCCATATCTTCCTTTCCGGTCGAGAACTCGAGGATCTTTGCCAAACTTGTGGTCTCGTTGATTTTACATGCGTCAGAAACGCACGTTTTGTGATGATCTCGGCCAGAAAACGCAGCTAGCTAACCATCCATAAATGTTGCTAAACTTGCAAAGCCCATGGCAGTCTCTTCTGCCAAGTTCACATTTTCTCATGCATCAGTTACTTTGTTCGTCTAATATGATATAAAATGTATAGCATACCTTTAGATGCATGTATGTAAAGCAGCATCTACATTTGGCCTCACCCTATGAAATCTTGCCTTTTCCCTTGTTTTATCTGTATTTGATTGTATTAAAAAAAGTATATATATTTTAAATTTATTGAGATAGAAGATCGTTATACCTTTCCGAACCTCCTCTATAAGATCAGTTTTTGCACATCTTCGTAGAACTTCTCCGCAGTGAAATTCGTTATCTTTGATAAATCCACGTGACCTATCAAAACTAAATTTGTTATCACTCAACTATATCAATTGGACCTAGTAATATGTGAGTAATCATAATGATCTAGTCTGACACCAACACTAAGAGTGTTTGGTTGGGAGAATTTGAGATTCTCATGGGAATGGAATCTATATTTTTCCGTTTGGTTGGCCATGAATGTCATTTCCGGTAATCTTATATTACCAATAGTGGCTTTTTTGGGGTATATTATCGGGAATGTCATTACCTCCCTTTCCTTAGGTATTGTTGGATTACCGAAGTTTTGGATTAAAATGCCTTTAAAAAAATTTTCTTTTCAAAAATATCTTTATTCTGTCATTGAAAAATAAAAATTCTAGGAATGTTAAATTACAAATTTATCTTTAAACTATTTTAGATTTACAAAAAATCTATAATTAAAATTTTATATGAAGTTAAGGGGTTAAAATAAAATTTTACCCTTTCATTAAACCTTTTTATATTTTCAATTTTGTAAAAAAATATATAAATTTTATGAATTTAAATTTTTTAAAGAAAATATATAAATATTTTCCAACTTGTTAAAAAAACAAATATATAATAAAGACAATTTGGTCAAATATACATTTCAATAATCTTTTATTCCTTTAACAAAACACGGTAATCTTACATTCCTGCTAAACCAACCAAACACAAAATACAACATATCCAGTAATCATATTCCCTGATAATCTTTTATTCCCATTGTTAATCTTACATTCCGTGAACCAAACACACCCTAAGGGGAATAGAATATCTTCATTGATACATCTTTTACTGTTGTACGAAGACAATATACCAGTATACCAGCCTACTACTATATAATTAACGATTGTGACTCTACACTTAAACCAAAAGAGATAAAGAACTTATAATTAACTCAACTTATTTGTTCGTATCGACAAATATAATAATAACCAAAACATTGCGATTCTCGGTGGCAGCCGCTAACACATTTTGTCTCTGTTATGATGCGTTAATTGAAGGAAAGGAGAGGTTTTTATTTTTAGTGGGAAACATGTGGGGTTCATGAAAATTACTTTAGAGCTGCTGTGAGGGAGACAAACATAATGTCTCCATTTCATTTCCTTTTTTGTTGAGCTTCTTGTATTGCATTCAGTCCATTATCTTATTTTGTGTTGTTTTTTAAGTGGTTGATCCATATTTTGAAATGTTATTAAGTGAAATTCAGGTTTTTGAAGCGGTAGATTCATGTTTTGTATTGTTATTACGTGTTTTTTTAAGTGGTAGATCCATGTTTTGTATTGTTCGTAGGATTAAGTCAAAAGAGAAATGACTGAAGTCAATAAATTTTAGGGCAAACTACGCATTTAATACTTAAACTATCACTTTTGGTCCGTTTTAGTAAAACTTTTAATTTTTTTAAATCATACCTAACATTTAGTTTTTATTTTGTTTAGTACCCCACCATTAAAAACTTAACACGTTTTGTATCTAAATTATCGGTTTTGATCTATTTAAGTACCTAAATTTTAGGGTAAACTACGCATTTAGTACTTAGACTATCACTTTTGGTCCGTTTTAGTTCCTAAACTTTTAATTTTTTTCAAAATCATACCTAACAATTAGTTTTCATTTCATTTTACCACACCGTAAAAAATTGAAAGTTCAAGTACTTAAACAGACAAAAACTGATAGTTTAGATACTAAACATGTTAAGTTTTTAACGGCGATAGACTAAAATGAAACAAAAATAAAATTTTAGGTATGATTTTGAAAAAATTGAAAGTTTAAGTATTAAAATAGACCAAAATTAATAGTTCAAATACTAAACCTGTGATTTACCCTAAATTTTAACTTCTTACGATAATAGTCGTGCTTCCCATGTGAGTATTAACTAAATGAATATGAATGAGGTAATAAAATTTTGAAAATTACAAAGTTAAAATGGCTTTTGGACAAGTAATATCTTTGGTCAAATTCAAGAATTAATCCTCTTGAAAAAGAATTTGGAAAACGAGGATGATTTTGAAATAATTGGGGAAATATGATCATTGTTACGGTGAATGTTGCAGCCGACACTCGTCATCTCATACCGACGACATTACAGAAGTCATCATGTCTTGCACGTGACTTTCTTCATACTTTTGTTTTCTTAATTTTGGGATTAAATGAAAAATAATAAAAGTTGAAGGACTAAAATATGAATTCCCAAAAAAATCCCGAAATCTCGTTTTACTTCTTTAATTTTCATTTTAATCTTAAAAAAATATTTTTTTAAAGAATAATTATTGACAAAACATAACAACTTCTATAATATCGTTGGAAAGAAGTAGCAACTTAAGTCTATACTATAACAATAATTCCATTCTCCAAATTAATTCTAAATCATTTCTATTTTTCAAATTTCTTTTCAAGAGGTTTGTTTCCTAATTTAAAAAATATATAAAAATCATAAAAAAATTATAAATAATTTAAAAATTAAAATATTAAAAAAAATAAAGTATTGAAAGTGAAGTCGAATACTTTCATCAAAAAAAAATCTTCGATACTAAAAAAATAATAACTATTATTTTTATTTTTTCGAAATTTAAAAATAATGAGAAAAAAACTCACATTAAAATGATTTTACAAGTTTTACTTTAGATGTTGAATTTTTAATATTTTATGTATAATTGATATAAAAAATAATATTAATTTAAATTAATTTTGAATTACATCTAAATAAAACTCAAATATTTTTTTCGACTTTTTTGTTATGTTCGTAGGATAATACTAATGTCATTTTTAATTTTGGTTACGATAATACTCATCTTTGGTTGTACTGTTGAACCTCTGTTCTAAGATTCTATTCTTATCAATGATATAATTGTCACTGTGCATTGCTTCTCTTATTCTACTGTTTTAGCTTGACTTGCTTGTTCGAGTGTGAAGTTTTTAGCCAAACACTGAGATCTCTCGTGTAATAATTTTAATATACGGTTAAAAAAAATGTTATGAAAATATTTTTATATCTTAATATTTTTTATAAAACGTTATTTAAAATATTATTATTTTTACTGAAAATGTTAATATTAGGTGCTACCTAAAATATTATTTTTCTACAAAAAATATTAATATTGGACGCTACCTAGAATGTTATTTTTTTCTACCGGTTTTTAAATAGAAAAATTAACATTTATGGTAGAAAAATAATGTTTTAAGTAGTGATTTACCAAAAATATTAAAAAAATAATAACATTTCCGGTAGTATTTTTTCTTAGCTGTATATTAAGTTACCGTATGACAGAACTACCCGCCAAACACGCTTTCTTTTTGTGAAGAAAAAATACTTCTAATTTTATTTTTATCTATAAAAGAATTTAATTTTATGGTGAATTACATATGTGACCACTTAAATTATATAGAAATTTTAATTTGATTATCGATCTTTTAGTTTTAACAATTAAATTATTTAACTATTTAAATATTATCACTTGAGTCGTCTATCGTTAACATTTGAGGGAGGAGTTGATATGACAGTTAATAAAATCAATATAATTACACAATTAGTTCTCATTACTTACATATTTCAATAATTTGTTTATAATTTTAATTTAAAATTTAATCTTTCAATCATATGGTAACACGTGTCATTAGTGACACAAATGAAGATCTTGAATGAGTTTCATGAAAAACTAATCTTAGGAGAAAAAAAGAGTAAATTATGAATATTTTGATATTAATCTACTATGAATGTCGATCGATGACAGGAGATGGTTCGTTGTTGGTGACGGGTAAAAAGTATAGTATTTTTTTTTGAAATAATACGTCATTTATACGATTAACCGGTATTATTCACAATTGCATCAGATAAACAATCCGGAGAATCATAAAAGTAAAACAAAGGCATAGAAACATATAATGCAAACTGGGCCAAGGTATGCACAGCTGTTTTTGTCGATCGATGAATTCCAACAATCCGAAAGTCTGTATTAGTCGATAGCATCTGGCGAGCAACAGCTAGATGGAATCAAACTGTAGACATGTCTAGCATCAATGTCGTTAGTTGACCGACCAAGTTAGCTGAGTCACTCTTTGTAACATCCTAAAGTCCGAATTAGTAGTTTTAGGTTCACTTTAGAGGTAAGTGGACTCCATGAATTTTAGATTTAAGTCATTGAGTTTAATTGGATTGGGATCATGCCCAATTAGTATTAAAAAAAGAGATTTTTAATTAGTAGAAAAATGAAAAAGGACCAAAAGCATTAATTCCCTATTTTCAAAAGATGAGCCTTTATATTCTTTCCATTTTCTTCTCCTTCTCATTTTCTCTCATTTTCTTTCTTCTTCTCCTTTACAAGGGTTAATCCAAGGTAAGAGTTTAAGCATTTTCATGCTTCATTTTCATTTGTAATTCCTTCTGCAACGCCGTTTTAGTGAATTAAGCCTTAGGTTTTTATAGGTAAAGAGAAAAGTGGGAGTTTTTACCAAAATCACTAAGAAAAGGAGTATTGCTAAGCAATGAGTATTGCTAAGCAATGGGCTTCATTTCAGGTTTCTAATACCAAAGTAGTGTATAACGCCATATGAAAATCCAAACCTTCGGGGGAACTGCCAAGCGTGATAGGAAAAGCCAAAAAGTCGTGTGAACGGTCGGACTCTGATTGTTTCGAGCCAAATAGAAGTAACCAAATCATACGGTGTAAACTCACATTGCATGGCCAGACTAAATGAGAACATCATTCACGCTTGGGGGCGATCGAGCATGCAAGAATAGAAGCAGAATCAATTTCTCCGAAAATAGCAGAGACCAACTGCACATTCCAGCGTGGCTCATTTGGTATCATAAATTCCCCCCACACTATTTTGAA